CCAGTGTACCCAGCATGTCTCAGAGCAACAGGCTGGGGGCCCTCGCTAGCACATCCTCCCTCTAACCTTGGCGTTTCATCCCACAGCTTGTCAAGGGCAAGGCTGATATTATCCCCTGTCCCCCTTCAAGTCTAGTTTAAAGCTCTGTCAGTGAGCCCTGCTAGCTTGTGAGCAAAGACCCTCTCCCCACTTTGAGAAAAGTGAATCCCATCTGACACCAGCAGGCCTGGTGCCGTGTAGGCCATCCCATTACCGAAAAACCCAAAATTGTAGTGGTGACACCAGCCACGGAGCCATGTATTAATAGACTGGGTCCATCTGTTTCTTCCAGTGTCGTTGCCCACAACTGGAAGGATAGAGAAAAAAATTACCTGTGCTCCAGATTCCCTTACTAACCGTCCCAAGGCCCTGAAGTTTCTTTTGATTGCCCTTGGAAATATAAAAATGTGTCCCAGCTCACTCTGTTGCGTGGCCCTTTTCTCATCACCCATGGTTCTGGGAAAGTGTACTAAACCTGGTGATTATTATTTCTCTGTCTGATATCACTTATGGTGTGCTAATTACTGCACAAACACTGGAACAGTGTGATCCCTGGGATCTCAGTGATGCCTATAGTTTCACTTCCCATGATGGACTGTTTTTCTGGTGTGGAATCTTGTGTATTTTTAACTCCTGTATTGGGTTATGTACAAGACTCCTATATTTAAGACCATACATGTTTGGCTGGACACTAAAAGAGCACCTTTTTTTTTTGACTGTTATAAAAGATTATGTATCTAAACCTTCCAGTGGGGCTTGCATTTTAGCTGAAACAAAACAGAGAGTAGTATAGGGAAACCTCTATTCTTGATAGGGAATTAGAGTGGAAACTAAAAGTTATACCACTGAGAAACTCCAGAAATTTTATGCATCTTCAACAGTGAGAGCACAGTGTTTCTAAGAATGTTCACATAAACTTTATAGAAAGATAATCATCTGTATGTGTGTTTTACCTGTTACAGAAACCATCATAAACCTGAGCACCATTCCCCACCAACATCCCAATTTCACATAGCTCCAAAAGGACAAAGCATATAAGATTTTCTAAGATGACATACATGAATATATTAGGTGGTAGCAGTACAGAAAATGATGCAGTTTGAATTAAATTAAAAGCTGTCAGCATGTAACGCTTCACATCTGTTGCCTTCCATGACTAGGTTGCAGAGAAAATCAGATGCACAGCTTAAACTGGCAATGCCTACATTACTGATGATACATTCTAATGCTGGCGAGTGATTGAATTAACTTGTTCGTAAGAAATTAAATCATCTTACAGTCTCTGAAAAAAACTGAAGTTGAAGCTCAGCAGAACAGTTAACATACACCACAGTAGACAAAAGCAGTCTATGTAGTCTATTGCTGTATGTTACCTAAAGACACGTGGTAAATTTGCTAGCTCTGTTCTTTGCGATCAGCATGCTGCATCCCTGACTTTTTGAGTTTATGGCTTTTTCTTTTAAATTCTTTCTTGTGTAATAATCCTCACTGAGCAGGCATGGCATTTGCAGGATGCCTGTTCAGAGGATTCTTTGATACATTCAGTTTTTGCTGTAAGTTTAACATGCTAATTTCAACATGAAGCTGCATCAACTTGTTTGTTTATTTTGCTGCAGAATCTGCCAGAGAATTTCAGTGATTGCAAATTGAAAAAGAAAGGGTTGGTGAAGAGGGTTCAGGTGAGTTTGTGGGGGTTTTTTTTGTTTTCCATTAATGCTGGGCACTTGTATACCAAGAGTTTGTGAAAATGAGAGCTGTTTAGATTTTTTTCAGTGTTCGTTCTTACCTTGGTATTTCTTATGGCCTCCCTTCGAGAGGTATTTAATAGCTTTATAATAAACAGTACACAAAAATACAGATTTTTCATAGTTCATGCTGTTTTCAGATAATGTTTGTAATTTACATTAGTGGTTGGCCTTATGGCTGCCTGATGACGTAAAGTAATTCTGATAACTTGTGAAGAAAACAGGATCATTCCTCCTTTCCCACTCCTTGGTGGGCTGGAGTAACGAATGAGGTCTGGGCATAAGGATGCAATCAACTCTAACTCCTGCTGGACCTTGCTAGAGGTGTTCTTTGGAAAATTTAGCTTCTATTGCAATGTTCCAACTTTCTATGGAGAGTAAGTCTCTAAAGTAAAATCTGTACAGAAGAGCAGCTTCTCTGGGGGGTGGTTTTTTAATTGCTTTGCCATTGTATGCTGCTTATGAATTCCTAGGCATTGTTTCCTTAGAGACCTTGAACTGAAGGTTTGTTAATAAATACTGGAGTTCGTGTTTCTGTGTGTTGTCCCCCCCAAGTCAAACTTCCATAAATGATTGGTAATGCTACTCATATTATTGGTTTTATTTGTATTATGCTAGCTTCAGTCACAGGTTAGAGTCCTGAAAATTTTTTGTGAAAGCACCTTGCATTCATACATGGAGTTGAAAGGTTTTGTCTTATACTGTAACCTTATTAAATACTTTCCATTAATGTTTCCCAAATTTTTTAAAATAGCCATCTATTTAGAGGAAGCCCTACCAAGAAGTACTTCATTTTACAAATGGTTTTTCTTGCAGCTTTAGGGACAAAGCACTTTGTACTCAGTTACAGAGGTAAGTTCAGATAATGCAGATTGAAATGAAGACGGTTGCTGGTGTAGCTATGTTATATGGGGCTCTGAACGTGCTCTTGATTCCCTGTGCCTAGCCAAAGCAGCAAAACTTTGTAATAGAGGTATGGCTATAAACCTCATGACAAGTTACTAGAGCTCCACTCTTGGGTGAAGTTATTGCAGAAATAAGTGGGGCTTTGTATAAGAACTGCTGTTTAAATCATAAAACAGACTCTGTTGAGCAGAGATCAGAATTACTGATGTGCTTTTATAGGCACAGTGTTCTGCAGCTATAGGTTATGAAGCCTTTGAGGACTGAGAAGAATCTAAGGGGTTTCAGACCAGAGCTGTTAACAACAATTCGTTTTTCCAGAGCAAGAAAATGATGGCAAGTTATGCTTATTACTCTTAAGTATTCATGAAAGTGAGGGGGATCTATTAACTGCCTTCTGTTGCTGGCAATCACATATCTTCCAGAATGGGGAGACAGATATAAAACACTTGCAGCCAGCAATCGCAGTTGTTACCACCTTGACTTTTTCATCCCTCAAATCCTTACAGAACTGAGTTGATGCCAGCTCAAGGGATTGGTTGAAGATAGATGATTCAAAACAGCGTGATGGTTGAGAAACCTTTACCTGGCACAACAGTTTGCTGCTCTAGAGGGAAGGAAGTTTCTTAATGTCATTTTAATGTAAATAACATTAAATATCTGGTTTGACTGTTAAAATCTAATGCAGACATAGCAAAACTGAGTGCAAGATGTGAATAGATAGTGGGAGAGTCTGCTCAGAAACTACAGCGTACTCACATACATTGGAATTGGCATAAAAGAATTTATTGGCTTAAAGTGCTGGCACGTTGTGCTGTGTACAGCACAAGCAAAGTGACTAGTGGCTGCTGGCTCTTAATTGCTGTGTGTGGGTTGCTATACTTGTAAGAACTTGTGGACAGGTTCTAAGAAAGCTTAAGGTGCTGTGGACTGCCCCTTTTGGAAAGGAGCCTTCTGTCTTTTAGGCACACCAGCTACTTACTGATAAAGATGAGGGTTCATGTCGCCCTGTAGTTCTGAGAAATAGAAGAAGCCTTGGTTTAATGAAAGCTTGTTTTAGGTTTGACTGAGTAGGTTTGTCACTCCCACCCTCCACGACAGAAAGAAGTATGTGCTTTAGAAAGGAGTTTAAAAGTCATGTTCCAAATTGAAGCACTAACTTGTCTGAACCTTTATGATTCTTGCTGTTTATGAACTTTGGATCAACTCAAAGTACTTCAGCAGCAGGACTGGTGAGGATGGGCAGCCATGTTATTGCCTTATCAAATATCATATTTCTGTTGGATTCTGGGTAAACAAAATTGTGAATAAGCTGTTGTCAAAACTGAAGTGGAAGGTGGTTATTGAGTTGGCTTCTTCAAATTCATGTTGGAAACTGCAGTTTCTGTTCTTCAGAAGTAGCTACCATTGCTATAATTGCATCCCCAATAACATTTATTTGTTTCTTATTCTCAGGTTTTTCTTGCCCAGTGTGATACCATTGAAGGAAATATTGGTCAAGAAATGGACAAGCTACAGTCAAAGAATTTGGCACTGGCAGAATGAGGCATTGCCCTACTTAATTAGGAAACATAATTGCTCTATGAGCAAGAAGAAAAGTTTGCTCTTTGTTTTGGAGCACGTATTCAGCTTTTTTTTTTTTTTTTTTTTAAAGCCCAGTCTGTTAGACTGGTACCAGTCAATCATTTCTTGCTGGTTGTCTTGTTTGCCGCTTGGTTAGACTATTATTTTGAAAAGAAAATCCTTCCTGAAGAATGGCAGAAATAATCTTTGTGGTGAATTGTTATGTATCTTATGGACGAATGTTTAGTTAACTAAGTTATAAAGTTTGCAGTGATGGGCAATTTTGTCTGATATGTCTTTGAGTTTATTTACAGCTCAAATCAAAGAAGGTCTATAATTGTACAAGTGCCATAAGTTGCAATTGTAGGACTTCAGCTTGATTGAAAAAGGCAAACTGAGACGACATCTGGGAGAGTCGAACATTCTAGTAGACGGTTCAGAGCAATAAAAAAAACTACGCATTTGTATCTACTTAATGTTTGTATGCATTTATAAATATAAGAAAGCTTGACTATAAGGGAGTCGTACCTATTTTAGCCTTAAATTGTCATAATAAATGGAATGTACTGTAACATGTATGGTACTTAATTTTGAGTGGTGCTTTAAGTTGTTACTAAGCTTGATACAGACATATGTCTTTTACATAGATTTCTGATGTACTGTGTTTTTTATAGATTATTCTTATTTTTATTGTTTGTGTTCCATCTTGAGTTATGGTGGGAAATGAAATGAGATTAATCATGCTGCTCATATACCAAGAGTTCAGTTAAGCAAGGTATAACTAAGGAGCTATTTTGAAAGGTTTTTTATACTTTTTTTCTGATTTTACTGAATTCATGATGCTATATTGAATGGAAAATTACAGTGATTATTTCTAGTCTGTTAAGGTAATCGGTGAATTTTTATAGCATGTTACAAAGTGACAGAACTTTATTTTAGCAATGCCATGTGACTGAGGGTTATGACTGATTCTTGCAGTCAGATACGTGCCACACTTAGCCTTCTCTGTTAGGTGTTGCAGGAGATAGTACCTGTCAGCAGGTGCAGCCAACTTTGCGGTTGTTGGTCAGAGCCCGTAGCTAACGTACCTATAGTGGGAATTGCTTTTTCACTGATACTTCTGGTCCATAGGTCAGTCATATACGCAGTGGCTGCTGCAGTAGTGACTGGTAAGGAGCCTGTTTCTGAGGGGGAAAAAAAAGCTCTTTTGTCTCAGATGAGTCAGACTGAGGAGGTTTAGAAATGGCCCTTAGGTAGTGAGCTTTTATCTATATGTGACTGTTCTAAGATTAGCTTTGCTTTCCAGATAAAAACAGGGAATGTGTGTAAAAAGATGTTAACTTCTAGTAAGTTATAAACCATAAATAATACTTAAAGTATTTTTATTAAAGTATTATGTCTGATGTTTGTAATTGGAGGAGCATTTATTTAGTGAAAAATGCCATTGGACAAATGAAGTGAGAGCCCTGCATTGGAAAGGGTCACTTTTATTCTAAAAATGCCTTCTGACCATACCAAGATTGGAGTTGCCATATTTTTTACTCTTAACCAGTTTCTTCAAGGTTGTATTTTTTTCACATGTAACTCTCTTCTCAGCATCTGTGGAGGATTTTAAGGTCTAAACTCCTAGGAAGCTTGTCTATCATGTTAGGAAATGGTATGTTTGGTAGGACTGTGGATATTTTTTCCTAGGCTGCTATAGTCTGGTCATGCTGCATTTTCCCAGCGCTTTAGAGTTAGGAGAAAGAAGAGTTGGTTGTAGCCATTTTTGTGAAGCCCTACCTAGCTTGGTGCTGCTTCTGGACCAGATTCAGCTGACTCGTAACCACCAGCAACGCTGTTGCCTAATTCAGGGGATGCAAAATTATCCACTTGCCTGTGATGGAAAGGATCCTCACCCTCTCAAATGTAAGTCCTCTAATGCATTGAAATTTCACAGGTGCATGTATAATAAGCGAAGTATCCTCTTGTGCCCATGAAGAGAACTGGGAGCTGTGGTCATGGCTAGGACTGTGTCCATTTCTGCTGCTCCTTTGTATTTTTCTCTCTTGGGCAAGAACACTAAGGCTATAGGCAGACATCATCTTCCCAGCACTCCCTTCCCAGGAACTTCTGCTTCTTGAGATGTGCCTGTGTGAGTACATCCTCAGCCTGTCTCAAAGCCAGGTGGATTCACTTTAAGATGTTCTATAGTAGGTCTTTTGATAATCTGCTACTTTGAGGCAGAGAGTGATGATGAACCTCTCCCACCAGCACATCTGGATTCAGCAAAGGGTGGGTGTCCTGAGCTAAAGTTACCTTACAGTGGTAATTCCTGGTATCAGAGTGTTTGGTTTCTATGCCAAAAGTATGTGTGTGAAGATGAACTTTGCAGTATAAATTTTTTTGTCTTCCAAATGTAAAAATGAATTGATTTGTTTTGGAAAATGGATGGTTGTATTTAAGTTACCTAAGACCTTCTAGAGTGGGTTGACTTTTATAGTTAGTTTTGAAAGAAGAGTCTTATACTTCATTTTTTCATAATAGCCTTAAATTTCAGTGAAAGCAAACCTCTGTGCTTTTGAAAAGTGCAGCAGTCTACAATTGCGGGAGGAAGGGGAAGGAAGAGGAAATTTTAAGTATTCTTCAGAATTTATAAAGGTAAACATAGATCTTAATCAAGCTTAAACTATATTCTCACTGATTCTGTAGTCTGGGTGTATTGTGATACCTATTTTGCTACTGAATCATCTCCGCACCCCAGCCATCTGCCCTGATCATGTCAAAAGAGAATTTACTCCCTTTTGCCTTAGTTGCATTTGCCCCATCGTCTTCCTCCAGTTGCTGTGTTGCTCTGGCTGTGTTTACACATCTCAGATTTGCCACGTGGGCAAAATATCTTACCACAAAGTTTGTCTTTTTATGAAAATGGAAATCAAATCACACACTTCCTTGCCCCATTTTCTCCCCCAGCTCCTGTAGGCTGGTGTGAGACGAACCAAACCCGACGTTTGGGGAGCGGTGGAGTCTGGAGCCGTGGGACGCCTTGGGAACAGCGTAAAACACGCTGCTTGTAGTGGCGTCCTGTGACTGAGTCCTCCTGAAGGTAATGTGGCTGTAAACCTGGAGTAACGCTTTTTTGACTTTTAATGGTCATGCGTGGTTTGGTGTGGAGTACTTGACGCTGTGGAACTTGGGGCTAGATTTTTGGGGGGTTATTTTATTGTACTATCATGAACGAAAAGGTAAAAATAAAATACGGAAAGTTCTCTGCTGTCCTTGGTCATGGTGCGCTTACTAAATGTAGAGGTGCTGTAGATGGACTGTATTTTAGTGGGGAAAATGTGTGCTGCTGTCCATGTCGCAGCGTGCACTGTGTGGGCGAGTAGGAGGTGTTTGGGAATGGGAGCTGCCCGTGCAAGGTCTCCCCAAAGGGAGCGGGGAATCAAAGCCTGAAATGTTCCCTGAAATGATCCGCAACAAGCTGAAAAAGAGGGGGGGGGGGAGAAGCTGGATTTTATTTGGTTTTGGTTTTTTTTTCTAAAGGACTTCTCACAGTTGTGTTGCACACTGAGGTTTTCTGGATCTGGATGTATGGGATGTACTTATTGTTATTATTTTTTACTTATTTTGGGCAGGTCTGGGGGTGCGTTTTAGGGATCTTATTCAGAGACGTGGCCCACAGCTGGATTACTGTGCCCATCTAGTTCTGATGGTGCTCCATAGGCTTCACTTCTGACAAACCTGATCAAGCCGGAGAATTTAATTCAGCCTCTCTGTTGAGATAATTTTCTCTTCCTCCTCCTCCTCCTCCTCTGGGGGCGGGCCTGGGCATCCTGGCCCCGCCCCCAGCAGCCGGAGCCCCGCCTCGGGGTGGGGCTTGTCAGCCCCGCCCTCCCGCCGTGCGTGGCGTCGCGGGGCGGAGCCGCCCCTTGCGCAGTGCTCGCCGGGAGAAGATGGCGGCGGCCGGGGTGGGCCCGGGTC